ATTTTGGCATAGGAGAAAGACTTTGGTTGAGAAATATCGCCGTATGAGTTAAGGACAGTACCCCAAATACTTCCAATGTTGTTGAGTGTGTTTCTATTCCAAAAATTTAAGAGTACACCATAGCACCTCAACCACAAACATCTCTCTTGTTCATAGTGGAAACCTGGCTTCCATTACCCCACAAAATGGCTATATTCCTTGAACCATTCTTTGATATTGCAGATATTAAATTTCAGCTCCTCTTGAGAGTTAAAAGTTAATATTACATCATGCCTTCCCCTTTTCTGACTACCACATGTTCCAGCCATTTCTCCTTCAAAACTTTTCCAATGTCATGGGTGGAATACTCAGCCTTAAGTCTGATTATTGCACTCTTATAAAGCCATCCATGGTCAACTTCATCAACTTTTATGGTCGTGCTTACATTTCCAGCTACAGTGGGTGTGACTCTTTGTAGTACCTCTGCGAAGGATCTTTGGCCTGCATATAGAGCTTTACCCCTAATGTTGTTCATTTCGAAGAATCTTCTGGTGAGCTGTGGTCTTCTTATGCTCTGTTCATCTCTGGTACCCGTATCATAAGTAGCATTTTTGACTTCTAGCACCCTGTCATCTACCAACAGACCATTTTGGATGGCAATGTCTACTGCTATAGAGCAATCGAATCTCATAAACCCAAATCTTGAGTTTGTCACTACTCTTCTTTTGAAATGTATAAAGACATCCTTCACAATACCAAACTTTGTAAAAATTTTGAACAGGATCGAACATCCATTGTTTGTGGTAGATTGTCCACAAAAATCGTAAAGAGTCCATGGCTTGCTTCATTGCATTTTGCTCCACCTCCTTTCCAATGCCTCACTACTGGAATCCAACCTTCATTACCTCTTTGCTCCATCCTCCAACTTTGGGTCTTCTCAACAACGCACGTTGCTTCCCTTTAACAGCTTCAGTTTGTGCCAGTTTTAGAAATAGGGCTTGTTATGATAGCAGTCACTTAATGATAATGCGTCGCAAAAGTCACCAAATTATATTCAAGGTAAACTACCATTGAAGTTTCATCTTTGGTAGTCAACAACTGAGTGAATCTCCATTAGGGGAAAAATGAACTCAATTAGGCGAAAAATGAACTCAGGGTGATACTAAGTTGGTGGCTACCAAGCCAACTGTAACAACCCTCACCTTACTCTTGTCATACTTGCATACACTCTTGCATGATCTTGCTTTGTTATGCTAATTTGAAGGTTTTGTCTTGCCTTGATTTGCTTAAAGTTGCTTGCATGATTTTGTTCTTTGCTTAGTGTGTGTGTGGCCGAGGTCGCCTTGAGCTTAGTTCGCCTTTGAACCCTCGTACTTAGAACTGTTTTGAGACCTTGGTCGACCCCCACCTTCACGTCGGGCATTTATTGCCGAGATGTTTGGCACTCAGTGAACCTTGTCCGCAGGCAGGTATGGCCTAGGCCGAGATGTGGCACGCCCCGGCCAAGGTGTGGTACAGCTTAGTCAAGTGTCGTCCTCCCTAGCCGATGTTTTGCTATCATGTTATCGGATCTTTGAGTTGAGCCGATGTCATTCTTACCGATGTGTTTTACCGAGCTTGCTGCATACGCTTTGTCAGAGACTTGTCTCATCAATCAATCACCTCTTGAGCTGAACCAACCCGTTAACGCCACGTGTCCGAGCTAGTTGTTAAGACAGCCGGCAGACCTTGGAACACATCTTTTTCTTGTCTCAAATCTTTGTTTTAGAGAGAGAAGCTCTAGAGAAGTTCTTGAGTGAGAGAAAGTCTCCCAAGCTTGATCTTCGTGGTTTGAACCGTTAGATCCGAGTTTTGAGGTTAGAATCTTGATCTCCTTTGGTTGTTCTTGCTGATCATCTAGCTGCATTGCATGATCGAATTTGTGTTGCATGTCATGCATTGTTTTGAAGTTGGTTTTTGAAGGGAGAAAATGGTTTTCCATATGTTCTTGAGGAGAGTCTCGTTTTGATTGAAAAGCTTGGAACGAAAATCATGTTTTTGTGTTTATTCTTGCATAACCTTCATGTATGGGTACCCAGGTCCATGTTTCGAACTCTTGGCATGAAACCTCAGATTTTTGTAACAAGTTGTGATCTTGCATTCGTCTTTCTCATGATCGAGTTCATCATGTTCTTCATGTTATTTCAAGGGGAACCCAGGTTTCCCCGACTTTGTTTTTGGTTAAGGCCAGCAGGACCACACCTCGGCTAGGATGTGTGGGACCTCGGCAAGGACCTGGTTGATACCCAGTGTGTTTCCATGAGTCAAGGGCTGTGTTTAAACTCCCAGCATGTTTTGCTTTGTTTTGACTTGGATCTGGTGAGCATGCCGAGATCATTTGCATGCTTTTAAAACTTGTTTTGAGAATGTGGTTTGCCGTGTGATTTGTAGGACCTTGACCCTTGCTTTGAGTCTACACCTGAAGAACTAGGTGAGTGGTATTTCTAATAAAGCTATGTTACACTTGCTTTTGATAAATCTTGTTTTGTTTGTTTTGACGTGGTATTTGCTAAGCATGAATAAATGGCCTTGTTTGATTGTTATCCTCGGAAATTCCCTTGTGCTGGAGGACTTTAAACTTTCGCAGTACTATGTGTAAAAGGATACGGTCCTTGTTAAAACAGATTTCTATGTTAAATCGGGCTACGGGCCTAAGTAACACAAGTATCGTGGGAATGCAAGCATGATGATAATGTTGCATGTATGATTGAATTGTGAAAAAGGAGTTGAAATTGATAAATTTCAAAGGAATGCAAGTTGTTTTAAACAATGTGTTTTGCCTCATGAAAAGAGATGGGATTGACCGGTAATGGGTCGGATTGTTTAATATTATGTTGCAATATTGTTGAAAATGGAGAAAATACTCAGTAAATTACTCAGGAAATTATTAGAAAATTACTCTGTAAATTCCAAGAAAATTACGCAGTAAATTATCTGTAAATTCCTAGTAAATTATTTAATAAATTCTAAATAAATTACTGAGTAACTTCTCAATAAATTACTCCTTAAATTCTCAGTAAATTACAAGTAAATTAATGAGTGAATTATTCAGTAATTTATCAGTAAATTACTCGATAAATTCTCTGTAAATTACTTTGTCAATTCTCAGAAAATTACTCAGTGAATTTCAAGTAAATGAAGTTTTGGTGTGTTTCGTTTTGAAGGACTCCGGCTTTATTCATGCAAACCTTTATTTTTAGTACCATTCACTGAGTTTTGTACTCACCCCTCTATATATATGTAGGTGATGAGCAGGACGGCGGCAACGCCTAGATCGTTTTGGATGCTTGTTTTGGATTCGTGCTTATGTCGGCTTTACTTTTGTATTTACGTCGGCGATGCCCTGCCTTGCATGTCGGCAAATCTTGAAAATCATGCTTCTTGACTTGTATTAGCTGTATTTTGTATATGTCGGCTCGAGAAGCCTTTTGATCAAGATGTAACATGTATTTTACCTTGTTGTATTCAAGTTGTAAAGTTAATTGGAAATGTTTGGCTTTGCTTTTGATCTACGCACAGCTCTTATGGACCGCTTGTATTTCGATTTATTACTTCCGCATTTGTGAGCCCCATTTATTATTACTCTGATCGTGTTTAGTTTTCGAAAGTTGGCCTTCGGTAATTACGGATTACTGGCCATCACGGCACCAAACTACTAGGGGCGGTTTGGGGTCGTGACACCAACATTAGTGTCAAATGTGAATAACAACTATACTTTATACACCAACTAGAAGAAACTTTTTGTTGAGACATATGTTTAAATCTTTATTTAAATTAAGACTTACTTGGAAAGAAACAGTCTCTAGCAGCTAAAGTGATGATATCAGCACAAGAGACAATGCCTTGAGTGGCACACAATATGTGTGCATTCCTTCTAGTTTTTTAAAAGAGATGGGCTTCCGGGAGGTTCACCATGGTCTTATTTTGATGATTTGAATAATTTATTTTGTATTGCCCTTCGTATATATTATCTACATAAAAAAATAAGTCAATCCAATAATTGGAATCTATCCAATTTATCGCATTTATTTTCAAAAAAAGGAATGACAAATCTATATTTTCAAAAATGTCATCCATTTTTTTGGTAATAAACACAATAAAATAAAGTTGTTATGATTATTAGATTGATTTAAATTTTTTTATGAATGATATTTATAAATTTTTTTACAAAATAAATAATTTAGATTATCAAAACAAAACTTATGATAAATCTCATGGGCCTAAACATCACTTTCTTATCCAAATTTGAACCGCAAGACACTACAACAAAAAGCACTTTTGGCGATTAAATTTGGCGACTAAAAAAAATTTAGTCGCCAAAACTTGTGGAATTGGCAACTAAAAAGTTTTTTAGTCAGCAAAAGTACAATATTTAGCTACTAATTTTTTTTAGTCGGGAAATGTTGATTATTGGCAACTAAAAAAAGTTTTAGTCGCTAAAAATGCCCACGCTGTATAGATAGTTTTGGCTATTAAATTTTTTTAGTCGCTGAATGAAAAACAAAAAATTACTTTCAGACTTTTGGCGATAAAAAATTTGGTCGCCAAAAATTTATTTTTAGCGACTAAACAATATTTTAGTGGCCAAAGAATTAAAATATTTGGAGGGAAAATTTCGAATTTTTGAGAGATTTATAAAATAAATTGGCGACCAAAATATTTAGTAGTCAAAATACTACTTTTAGTGACTAAAACAATTTTAGTCGGCAATAGTATATCTAAAATAATATTTAGTCAGATTTTTTGCACCCTTTTTAGCGACAAATAATATTTTGTCGCCAAAATACTACTTTTAGCGACTAGAACAATTTTAGTCGGCAATAGTATATAATTTATGCTTAATAATATTTAGTCAGATTTTTCGCACCCTTTAGCAACTAAAATAATATTTAGTCGCCTAATGGCATGAAATTATGCCTTTCCCGACAAATAAATCATTTAGTCGTGGAAGCTCAAAATTTTATAGAGGGAGTAATTTCAGATTCGCACCTGTCTCGCACTTTTACCCTCTCTGTGTATACACCACAACCACCCAACCTCTGTCTCAGCCAACCTTACCACCGCAAATCAATAAACCTCACGGCAAATAAACCTCACGGCAATCAAACCTCACGACCGCGCATCCTCAGCACTGTCGGTCCTCGTACGCCGCAAATTAGCACCGCCACCGCCACTAACAGGTTCGCTCTGTTGCTCTGTTGCTCTCTGTCTCGCTCTGACTCTCTCTATCTCGCTCTCTCTCTCTGCCCCTTCTTCTATTTCCCCAACTGTGAACTCTTGCTCTAGGGTCATTTATTATACCCATTCAGTTTAATTTTGTCTTCACTTCTGATATGGGTTTGTTTGAAGGGGTTTCATTACTAGAATTTTATGGGTTTAATGTTGTAAATGGGTTTGATTTTAGGGTTTGATACCTTTCCCCCTATTTTCGTGTGTGTAGCATTGAGATTGAAAGAAGTGGGTAAGGTATCGGTACGCTGAATGGAATAAACTTCCAAATTGCAATTATGAGCTTTTAGTGTAGCGTTGTTCTTTTGTGTGTGTAGTTTGCTTTGGTTATTGGGTCATCTGGGTTTGTATTCTGTTTTCGAATATATATATATATATAGAGAGAGAGAGAGAGAGAAAAAAAAAATTTCTTTATACTTTGATTTATTGAAAGAATTGCAGAGCTTCAGGTATGATGTTGAGCAATAGAGTCATCCATCTGATAAACAATTTGAAACATTGTCTCATAATCTTCCTGTATGTGAACTTAATGTTCAGGCTGAAAATGATGTTGTAGGCCAGGAACTTCAGAGGCAACTGGAAGCTGCAGGTAAAGCTTTTAACTTTCCTTTTGTCTTTTCATCTTTTTTATTTAAAAATGGATTTTGGATACGAACACCCAAATGATGGTATAGCTTATAAATTTATCAGTCTATGTTTGCCAAGTTTCATGTGGACCTTGAAAATACAACAAATGGAAGCTATCTATCCTTAGCTTGAATTCATTTGATCTGCTCATTTGGGGGACCTTTGGTGCTTTATACTGTTTGTCTTTCCTAAAGCTAACCTTTATTCACTGCTATTGGTGGTGCCAGAGAAGGAATTGAAGCAAGTCCATGACTTGTTCGGCCAAGCAGCAGATAACTGCTTGAACTTGAAGAAACCATATTGAATACAATGATAGTCCTCATCAATTGGCGTTTCTATCCGTGAGTTCATTGGTAGACATCAACTCTGGTAAAAATTTTAATAGTAGAGAGCTAAAACATCCTGTAAACAGAGTTGAATCTTTGTTACTTAGAATGGATTTTAATTCTAAATTAGAATGATTAAGCTCAGTACTTCTTCTAACTATTTTGTTTGTCTGAACCTTTAATATAAAATCTATTTGGAATTAGATATTTGACAACCTGAGTGATTGGATTTTATTTATTTTTCACTTGAAATGTGTGAACTGATAGTTAATACCAAATTAAACGTCAGCTTTTTCATACCATTGATATTATTTTCTTTATACTTCAATAACCTGTGAAATTTGAAGTTGTCAACCAAATCTCTTGATATTATTTTCTTTATAATATCAAGAAAATTTCTTTATACTTTGATTTATTTCAATTTAGTATCTGAACTTCACGGTTTTAATGTTTAGGTTGATGTTTAGGTTGTCAGCTTCGTGTTGTCCGAGCAATTGCTATTTTAGAATGCCTTCTTCAGATATTCTATTATGAGCTTAATGTTACTTGTTGGAATGTATAGTAATACCTTTATACTGCATTTGAGCCTTTTTTTTTTCTTCTTCTTTTGTTTGTTGGCATATGAAATGTTCGAGCTTGAGGTTGGTTCTGCTGACCCCTCTATTTGTTTTTGGTGTGTTCCACTTTCTTGTGTGCAAATGCCTCCACTCCCTTCCTCCAAAAAAATAAATAAAAAATGATGCAGTTTTTCATACTTCGTGAATCATTAATGAAATCTGCAAGCTCAGTTGATAAAACATAATGATGATTCCTGTTTTGTTGTTTGAATGACTGCAGTTCTATGATTTTTTTTTTTTTCCTTCCAGTTTTTCAATACAAAGTCTGTAAGAGAAGAGCAGATCCTGGGAATATTAGTAATGCAGTGAAAGGAGATGAAAAATATTTGAGTTTTGGAAAAAATAGGGAATTATTAGTGCAATGTGAGAATGAGTAGAATGAGCAGCTAAGGAGATTCAAAGCTCTTAATTACTTCACCTGAGTTCAGTCATGGTTCTTAGATTGGCTGGTCATTGAATTTGTTGTTTCTTTCCCATTAGGGTTAGGGTTTATAGTTTGTTAGACTATATCAGTTATCAATTAATAAAAAAATCTATGATTTTTTTTTCTTCCTTCCAGTTTTTCAATACAAAGTCTGTAAGAGAAGAGCAGATCCTCGGAATATTAGTAATGCAGTGAAAGGAGATGAAAAATATTTGAGTTTTGGAAAAAATAGGGAATTATTAGTGCAATGTGAGAATGAGTAGAATGAGCAGCTAAGGAGATTCAAAGCTCTTAATTACTTCACCTGAGTTCAGTCATGGTTCTTAGATTGGCTGGTCATTGAATTTGTTGTTTCTTTCCCATTAGGGTTAGGGTTTATAGTTTGTTAGACTATATCAGTTATCAATTAATAAAAAAATTAAAATAAATGCTTTTGAACTTTATGTCATAAAATGTTAAAAAATCTACAAAAATAATTCTCACAAAATGAAATATGTAGTGTTAATTTTTCTTGTGACAATTGACCACATAATGTGAAATTTCCCATGGTCATAATTATAGAGAATTCAACGGTAAAAACATAGATCAAACCAAAGTAACTATATGAGTTTTAACTTAGGATACTTGTTTTTCACACTTCCATTCAAACATGTTTCAAAAGAACAAAAGAGACTTTATAGGACACAAATGAATAGATTATGAATACTCACTTTTTTAAACTCAGTTTACAAGGGAGTGGTAATTATATTAATATAATCTTTGAGATCTGTTGCACTTGTGGTGACTTGAGAAGATATTTTTTCATGTTGCCTTTTTAGTAAAGTGATAATTACTTTCTAGTAGTTAATTTTTGTCCGACATGTTATTGGAAAAATGGCTCCTAGCTCAGTTTCTTTTTATTTTTATTTTCAATAAGTATTCCTAGCTCAGATTGTTATTAGCACTCGTGTGGGTTCTCTCATCCACCAAGGTCGTAAAGTGATAGTTTAGTTGAGTCTTTAACTATTTCTTTTAAACCAAAAAAGGAAAATTTCTTTATGCACAATCACTTAATATAGATGGGACTACATATGGTATTGAAGAAAATTGAATCAAGAAGGAAACTTCTACCACTCTTGCATATAGTGCACAAGAAGTGGCTAGGAGTATACTGAATTTCCATTACAGCAGAATTGGACTTTGGTGGTACTTTATTATGAACTTCTGGAATCTACTTTCTTTTCTCACTAGTGGTTACTACTCACTCCCCTTTCCATCCCATTTAATATACCAACCCATAGACATGCAAACCTCATTAAATTAGATATTATTTTATTAGATACTTCTACTTAATATTTTTTGATGTATCTAAGACCACTATAAAGAAGGATGTGAAATGACTAAGGAAATGTGCAGTTGTAGCTGATTTCTATCATTGATAGATTATGTGCATGTTGTATTGTCTACAATCTCCCTTGCTTACATGTGCAAATACTTGTAGAAGCTTGATCAGTAATAGTGGTTGCCCGTGTTTGGGCTAGTTGTTGAAAGAATGACATCTTGTTCAATCACTCAACTCAACTTGACTAACCTGGGAAAGCTTATTAATGACTATTTGGTTTGCTAGATAGCATCTTGTTTATGTCTATATATAATTTTCTAGTTTGAGATTAAGTTTTTCTTTTTCCTTTTTATTTTTTTAATAGAAAATAATAGCTAATTAATTTGACTATCTTATATGTCATATAGTATGCATAACTGTCCCCTTGTAATCATTGATTCTATTTTTTCCAGGCGATTCTTTGACACTTATGGGCAGTGTTATGAAGATATGAGAGAGTTCCACCAACATCTTCCTTCATTGTTGAAACCTGGTGGGATCTACTCATTTTTTAATGGCCTTTGTGGAGGTAATGCCTTTTTTCATGTTGTTTACTGTCGGTTGGTTTCTCTAGAACTTGAGAGTTTGGGTTATTCCACACAGTTAATACCCTTGCCTATAAAGGATTGTTTGGGAGAAGAAGTTTGGAAGGGTGTGAAACACAAATATTGGCAATTGGACACATATTACCTCCCTGTTTGTCAGTCTATACAGGATTCTGAATGATGCTTGGGTCCATACTAGTTTTTCTTGATCTTCAACATGTTTAATCAGTGGACAAGCCAGTACGTTTTACTGATCATATTTGAAGTTTAGATGGTTAGGAAAGTTATGGGAAATTATCCTTGAGAGATCTTGTGCTCTCTTACGTCTGTTTTGTAGTGTGTGACCTTGTGAGTGTATGCTCTAGAGGTAACTAAAACTTGGTTTTATTATATTCACTTTATTAGATCAAGACCCAAGAATGAGTTTAGCATTTACTATTTGTTTGTGTATCAATTCTTGCGCATTCTATATTTATGCTCTGAAGTTTTCTAGCTTCTGAGTAGTGGAATAAGATTTAACAAAGTGTGTGCTTTGGTTTATTTGGATGCAATTCCATGGAAGAATAATGAGTTATAAACTTGACGTATTTGGTTTATTCATTTATTCTTAAACGGTGGATTTATTACAACTTGACATACTTTACCACTCATGATTCTGACCTATACCACTTAAATGTTATCCATTGTTTTTACACAAGCTAATGGTGCATGTTTTGGTAAATTTGTCTGATAGATGCTAGATCGTTCACATAAGCTTCTGCATCTCATTGTAGGCTATATAATATATGATGGTTTGATCTTGCAATATTAAATTTTTGTGGATTGTTTGTTGAGGCTAATTTTGTTTCTTGAGAATGGAAGGGATGAAATTCTGATTAAATGACAATAGAATGGGAATTTGGGAAATTGCTTCATGCCATATAACTTGCGCTGACATAAAGAAATGATGATATAAAGAAATTGGCATGGCTGAATACGTCCTAAACTTAGTCGAAAAAGGGCGTTTCGAGGGCGAAAATTCAAAGCAACCCTCGATCCACGGTGTGACTCTCATGGATAGCTTTTCCATGACAAATAAGACTTATAACAACTAACGGAACGTAATTTGGACATGTAGGTAGAGAGTTAGAGCTAAATACGCCTTAAACTTACTCGAAAAAGAACTTTTCGGGGACGAAAATTCAAAATAGCCTCCAAATGACCGTGTGACTCTCATGGATAGCTTCCCCATGACAAATAGGATTTGTGAGAACTGACGGAACGTAATTCCGATCTGTAGGTTGGGAGTTAGAGCCAAATACGTCCTAAACTTAGTAGAAAAATGGCGTTTTGGGGTTGAAAATTCAAAACAGCCCCCGAACCACCATGTGGCTCACACGGATAGTTCCCCCATGACAAATAGGACTTGTGACAACTGACGGAATGTAATCTGGACCCGTAAGTTGGGAGTTAGAGCCGAATACGCCCTAAACTTAGTCGAAAAAGGGCATTTCGGGAGCCAAAATTCAAAACAGCCCCGGAACCGCCGTGTGGCCGACACGAACAGCTTCCCCATGCCAAATATGACTTGTGACAATTGATGGAATGTTATTCGAACCCATATGTTGGGATTTAGAGCCGATTACGCCCAAAACTTAGTCGAAAAACGGCCTTTCGGGGGCAAAAATTCAAAACAACCCAGCTTTCCCATGCCAAATAGGACGTGTGACATCTGACAGAATGTTATTCGGATCCGTAGGTTGAGATTTAGAGCCAAATACGCCCAAAACTTAGTCGAAAATGGGCGTTTCGGGGGCGAAAATTCAAAACAGCCCTTGAACCGCCGTGCGGCTGACATGAAAAGATTCCCCATGCCAAATATGACTTGTGACAACTGACGGAATGTTATTCGGACCCATATGTTGGGATTTAGAGCCAATTACGCCCAAAACTTAGTCAAAAAACACGGCCTTTCGGGGGCAAAAATTCAAAACAGCCCTCGAACCTTCGTGTGGCCGACACGGGAAGCTTCCCCATGCCAATTAGGATGTGTGACATCTGACGGAATGTTATTCGGACCCGTAAGTTGGGATTTAGAGCCGAATACGCCCAAAACTTAGTCAAAAAATGGCGTTTCAGGGGGCGAAAATTCAAAACAGCCCTTGAACCACCGTGTGGCCGACACGAACAGCTTCCCCATGCCAAATATGACTTGTGACAACTGACGGAATGTTATTCGGATCCGTAGGTTTGGATTTAGAGCCGATTACGCCCAAAACTTAGTCGAAAAATGGCCTTTTGGAGGCGAAAATTCAAAACAGCCCCGAACCTCCGTGTCGCTAAAACGAACAGCTTCCCCATGTCAAATAGGACTTGTGATAACTGACGGAATGTTATTCGGACCCATAGGTTGGGATTTAGAGACGAATACGCCCAAAACTTAGTCGAAAAATGGCGTTTCGGTGTCGAAAATTCAAAACAGCCCTTGAACCATTGTGTGGCCGACACAAACAACTTCCCCATGCCAAATATGACTTGTGACAACTGACGGAATGTTATTCGGACTCGTAAGTAGGGATTTAGAGCCAAATACGCCGAAAACTTAGTCGAAAAAGGGCGTTTCGGGGGCGAAACTTCAAAACAGCCCCCGGACCTCAGTCTGACTCTCACGGACAGCTTCCCCATTACAAATAGGACTTGTGACAACTGACGGAATGTATTGGAGATGTATAGTAATGGAAAATTACGGAAAAAATATTCAGAAACCAATATGAACTCAGTTTACGCCTTGTTTTAAACTTGCTAATTTTTTGAACGTACACACGTGTGTTATTTTATATTTAAGCTTTCGTGCAAGTATGAAACATGCTCATGGTGTTTCTGAGGCCATGTGCATCATGAGAAATCAAGTATTCTTTCTTTGATGAACCATTTATAGGTGTCTCAACATATATTTCTACATATTTCCTTTTATGATTGAAATTTATTTTTGTTATTATTTTTATCACATGTTCTAATATCCTTTCTTAAATGGCACTGACATACATTAATAAGCACCGATGGTTTTATATCCAATCTAATGATTCAAGTGCCTTTTGCAAACAAATAATGAGGAAGTTGGTAAAAAGAATACTTTCTATTCACATTGGGCTTTGATATTGGTTTAGCCACAGAATTTGGATACATGTTGCATACAAATAGAAGATTGTTGCATTAGGTTTATGTTACTAATGAAAGATTTAATAATGATTGTTCTGCATTTAACAATGTTCCTTATAACAAAAGACTTTAGAAAGACTGTACGATGAATGATAATTGATTCGTCATGGAAGGTTGCTTCTCACTTATTTTTATTTGTCACTTGTTCCCAAATTCATTCATGAAGTTGGGCATTTTTGGGTCAAATTCTAATGTTTTTTTTGTTTTTTGTAGATGACTTTGTTGCGTGGACTTGCAGAGATATTTTGGTGTATGGAGAAGAAATTGTATTTTTGTATAGAAGTAAATATAATACTTTTGTCGTCTCCGGCTTTTGTGCAGTTAACTATTACCGATACAGAAAATTTTTGGTAGCGAGCAGCTAATTACTAGCATGGTAGATAAATCACCTTTTGACGCCGTACAGATATATTATTTTTTGTCGTGGTACATAAATGTATTTTTGGCTTGGTACATACATCACCTTTTGTCGTGGTACAGATTACGGTGCTAATTAGTACCATGCCAAATGGTCATTTCACATGGTATAGTAAATGTAATTTTTGTATATGGAGGGATTTACTTTTTGTATGATTCTATATGTTGTATGGAATTATTATTTTAGTTTGGACAATAGTTGGTTCGTATGTACTTGGACTGGACAGTTAAAGTAATTTATTTTTTGTATACGGATACAGATTGTGGAATGATTGATAGTTTATGTATCATTTTATTTATATACGTATTACAGGTTCCATGGAATACAGACAGGTTATGGACACATTATAATATTTGCAATAAAACATAATATCATGTTTTTGCCGACTAAACGTTTTGTAGCCAATAAAAAGGGAAAAAAAAATAACAAATATTTGGCTACTAAAAGTTTTGTAGCCGAAAGAAAATCAAACATTTGGCTACTAGTTTTTTTGTAGGCAAAAGAAAAACAACCATCTGGCTACTAAATGTTTTGTAGTTAAAAGAAAATCAAACCTTTGGCTACCAAAAGTTTTGTAGCCAAAAGAAAATCAAACATTTGATGACTAAAATATATTGTAGCTAAAAACAAAAGTAGAAGAATAAAAATACTTTTGGCGACTAAAAATTTAGTAGCAAAAAATGTGGGAGTTTAGGCGACTAAATTTTTAGTAGTCAAAAATGTGAAAGTTTAGGCGACTAAATTTTTAGTAGCCAAAAGAAATAGTATTTGCCGACTAAAATTTTAGTAGCCAAAAAAGATTGACTTTAGGCGATTAAAATTTTAGTAGCCAAAACACTAATATTTGCGTTCGGCGACTAAAAAATTTGTAGTTAAAAATTTTTCAGCGACTAAATAATTGGCTTTTGGCAACAAAAAAATTAATCGTCAAAAATGTAATATTTAATTAATTTTCAACCTATTGGCGACTAAATTAAGTTTAGTCGCCAATTAATGCAGTGAAAAGAGATGAAAAATATTTGAGTTTTGGAAAAAATAGGGAATTATTAGTGCAATGTGAGAATGAGTAGAATGAGCAGCTAAGGAGATTCAAAGCTCTTAATCACTTCACCTGAGTTCAGTCATGGTTCTTAGATTGGCTGGTCATTGAATTTGTTGTTTCTTTCCCATTAGGGTTAGGGTTTATAGTTTGTTAGACTATATCAGTTATCAATTAATAAAAAAATTAAAATAAATGCTTTTGAACTTTATGTCATAAAATGTTAAAAAATCTACAAAAATAATTCTCACAAAATGAAATATGTAGTGTTAATTTTTCTTGTGACAATTGACCACATAATGTGAAATTTCCCATGGTCATAATTATAGAGAATTCAACGGTAAAAACATAGATCAAACCAAAGTAACTATATGAGTTTTAACTTAGGATACTTGTTTTTCACACTTCCATTCAAACATGTTTCAAAAGAACAAAAGAGACTTTATAGGACACAAATGAATAGATTATGAATACTCACTTTTTTAAACTCAGTTTACAAGGGAGTGGTAATTATATTAATATAATCTTTGAGATCTGTTGCACTTGTGGTGACTTGAGAAGATATTTTTTCATGTTGCCTTTTTAGTAAAGTGATAATTACTTTCTAGTAGTTAATTTTTGTCCGACATGTTATTGGAAAAATGGCTCCTAGCTCAGTTTCTTTTTATTTTTATTTTCAATAAGTATTCCTAGCTCAGATTGTTATTAGCACTCGTGTGGGTTCTCTCAACCACTAAGGTCGTAAAGTGATAGTTTAGTTGAGTCTTTAACTATTTCTTTTAAACCAAAAAAGGAAAATTTCTTTATGCACAATCACTTAATATAGATGGGACTACATATGATATTGAAGAAAATTGAATCAAGAAGGAAACTTCTACCACTCTTGCATATAGTGCACAAGAAGTGGCTAGGAGTATACTGAATTTCCATTGCAGCAGAATTGGACTTTGGTGGTACTTTATTATGAACTTCTGGAATCTACTTTCTTTTCTCACTAGTGGTTACTACTCACTCTCCTTTCCATCCCATTTAATATACCAACCCATAGACATGCAAACCTCATTAAATTAGATATTATTTTATTAGATACTTTTACTTAATATTTTTTTATGTATCTAAGACCACTATAAAGAAGGATGTGAAATGACTAAGGAAATGTGCAGTTGTAGCTGATTTCTATCATTGATAGATTAAGTGCATGTTGTATTGTCTACAATCTCCCTTGCTTACATGTGCAAATACTTGTAGAAGCTTGATCAGTAATAGTGTTTGCCCGTGTTTGGGCTAGTTGTTGAAAGAATGACATCTTGTTCAATCACTCAACTCAACTTGACTAACCTGGGAAAGCTTATTAATGACTATTTGGTTTGCTAGATAGCATCTTGTTTAATTTTCTAGTTTGAGATTAAGCTTTTCTTTTTCCTTTTTATTTTTGTAATAGAAAATAATAGCTAATTAATTTGACTATCTTATATGTCATATAGTATGCATAACTGTCCCCTTGTAATCATTGATTCTATTTTTTCCAGGTGATTCTTTGACACTTATGGGGAGTGTTATGAAGATATGAGAGAGTTCCACCAACATCTTCCTTCGTTGTTGAAACCTGGTGGGATCTACTCATTTTTTAATGGCCTTTGTGAGGTAATGCCTTTTTTCATGTTGTTTACTGTCAGTTGGTTTCTCTAGAACTTGAGACTTTGGGTTATTCCACACAGTTAATACCCTTGCCTATAAAGGATTGTTTGGGAGAAGAAGTTTGGAAGGGTGTGAAACACAAATATTGGCAATTGGACACATATTAC